CACCCACACCTACACCAACACCCCTGACTACCAACAATACGATGGCCAGGAGACGCCCCAAAACGCACAGTTCCTCGCTTTCGACGTATACTCAACGACGCGCGTGTTCCTACCGAACAGTCGTCGCACACAGGGGTGTATTCATTCACCCCTCGTTGATAATCCCCCACCGTTGATACCCTCGTAGCTCCATCGGTCCACTCGTTGACCGTTCGACTTCACCGATAGCCCTGCTGGAAAATTCAAGAATAAACTCACCACCAGTCGCCACCATTTTCTATCCATTCAAGTGGTCAACAAGATGGCCGTGGAGCCACTCGAGCACCCGGATATCATTCCCAGAATTCATCAGCCAGACTGAACGATTACAAGAATCCCACGGAAATAACAAAATTGCCATCGCGATGTGGGGGCGCTGGTGTCTCTAGTCGCGCCCTGACGCCGTCGGGCACTCCGCACCACACGGCGATACCCAACGGAGAGGGTGGGTGCGGGTTGTTGGATGGTTAAGGAAGCCCTTGAAATCAATAGCCAGCCGCCACTGCCACCGCCAGTGCCACCTCCCTGATCCTGTACCTCTCTCCCCCTTCGACCCCCATATTTCCCTGTTTCTCACTCCACCATTCAATCCCCTTCTACCATCCCCCGCAACCCCCTCTGCCCTTCACCATCACCGAGTCCCCATCCAGTTCCTCACCTCAAACTTCGAAAATTCATACATCAGCACAACCTTCAGTGGCGGACAGCGTGGAACCGGCCGGCTCAGTCTCCGGTTGAACATCACGATCATGCGCCCCCCCTTTCCACCCCTAATGTCCCCCTTTATTTATTCCCGATGTCCGATACACGGCACTCGAATAAGTAACGTCAGTCCAGGCCCTCCACACATCCCCCATCCTCCCCCCAATTTCCCTCATGATTGTCAACCGCAAGGGCAGAGAGAAGAGGAACGATTCCAGGATAAATGTGAAGGTGAACTCATCCTCAGGAGCACACGAGAATTCCCATGGAAACGGATGAGCAAAAAAATTTATTCAACCATCACCCGGCGGTGGCCTCCTCTCCCCCCAACATTTTTTCCATTTTCTTTCATTTCCGTTTTTCGCTCACCCTCACCCCTCGGCCCCCTACCTCCAGAGGGTGAAGGGAGTTGGGGGTCTCAGGGGCTCTCGTGAAACGTCCGAGATTGCAAAAGGTGCGTTTTTAAAAGCGTTTGGCGCTTTAACATTTTCCCCGGGGGTAGCTCAGGGGATGGAGCAAGGGTGAGGGGTTGAGGGGTGAGAGGATGAGAGGGTGGATGGATAAAAAGTTATAACCCCGCAGTCTTACCATGCATCATGGACGGTGGGTTTCTCTACGTCAGTGGGGTATGGGGGTGGGTTTTCAGTAAGCCAGAGAAAAGCCAAGAGGCAACATTACCAGCGGCGCTGCAGTCCACAACTCTCTCACTGGGGTATATAGCGAAATTCTTCGAGTCTTTCTCTTGACGTTGCTTTATCCAACTACGTCCTGACCCCGTGCACGCATGTATAATGACGCGGGCGCAAGGCCCGACGCTGACCTACTATCGTCACGCGGGGCTGATAAGGGAGAACGGGGGTGGGGCTGAGGTGAGGGTGGTGGGTGGCCGAGGGGTGGCGGGAAGAGTGCGCCTTCGCGGAAGACTCGATCTCGTGCGCATATCGGGGGTTATTTATTTATTTTTTTTTTTTTTCGTTTTTTTTTTTTTGAGGGAATGCTTTTGCGCTTTTTCTACGGCTGTCGTTCTTTCTGGGAGTCTCAACACTCATCTCAATGCACTCTCCATCCACTCGAAAATTAGCAAATGGCGATGGGACAAAGAGGAAACGTATGCTCTTACGTTTTTTGTCTGGAAATGGTTTTTCTGGGGAGGGGAGGGGGCTTGCGAAATTTTTTTTTTTCGATTGTTCTGGGTCAGTCGGCAGGTACTGGTGTAATTGGAAGGCTATTGGGGATTCCCTTTGGGATTTCTTTGGAGATGGTTTTGGAAATTATTTGGAGAGAATACTGGGGAATTCGTAGGGGGCTTGGGGATTTTGTTGAGATGGGGTTTATTTCGGGGGTGCGGTGGGAATGGCGTAAGTCGAGTTTACCAGTTTTCTTAATTATGGATTTATGTCGAAGAGTATTGATTCGGGGAGGAAATAGTGCAGGAATTTTTGTAGCTGGGTGAATCTTCGGGGGAAGACTGCTTTTGATTCCCGTTTTAAATCAATCGGCTCTGAGATCGATCGATGTCTACGAAATTGGAAAATTGGAGTTTTCGGGTTGAATTTCAACACTTCGCAATTTCATTTTGAAAATATTCAATCGAATCTCAATTTCATCTCATGTAAAGATTCTCTACCATTTTTTTTAATCACACAATTTTTTATTTCAGAAAACTTCTCCTGAACCGAACAATATTTTCCAAAAATTTCCCTTCCCAAATTCCTTTAAACCACTTCCTTCCCCAGATAATCTCCAAATCTGTTCTATACTCATTTCCCTTCGCCACTCCATATTTCAGTGACTCCACTACTGCCAAACTAAATTCCACATTCATCGGAAACTTAGAGTAAATTCACTTCATCATTCTCATTCACCATTCTGGAGGTGAAACTAAAATTAAACTGTCAATACCATCATGATAATTAAAATTGATCCAATCTTGAGATCCGGAGAATTCACCTCAGAACAGTAATCCTATCATTCTTATCACTCTTTCCGTTCTCGTCATTTTAACTCTCATTGAATACGATCAAAAGCACTAGTGATTCAACAAAAAGAATTCCCCAAGTTATCTTCTGACGTAACAGCCCGAAAGATCAATTTCTCACATGTACTCCCCAGTAACTACAACCGGACATTTTTTTTTTCAATTCTATCAACGACGAATTAAAATCGACGAATTAAAATTAAAAATATACTAATAAAAATATTCCAGTAATGTACCAAAATAATTACCACCATAATTGTTGAAGAGATAAATAAATAAAAAAGAGGAGAAAATAAATAGAGGATCGATTGAATGGATAAATAAATAAAGAGGAAATTCAGCGGAATTTTCCTGAAATTTTCGGGTGAATTTTTGTTGATACGAATGTGACTGCAGTCGCTGGGGTTTCGATCTGAATCACAAGGGGTTGAGATGGGGTGGAGGGTTGTAATGACGTCACAGAGTCCTGCGGCTCTCTGACCTCGATTCTGATGAAACTTGTCTCGAGTGCACCCTCAGGCGATTAGATAGCTGCACCTGATCACTCGTTTTATCCCTTTTCCTCCCGACAACCCCACATTTCTTACTCCCGACACTATACGTTTAATTATTTCATTAGTCGTATAATTATTGGAAAATTGCCGAAGGTACTATTGACACAGATAAGTGAATGATCAATGTATTTAATCCCTCGTTGTCCTTCTCCCTTCGCCATTCACTTTATTTTCCCATCAATATCTAGATAAAAATATTCTCGTTTCTCCATTTTTTCCATCCACCCAGTCATTACGCCCTTTTTATGCTGGCATTTGGATTTTATGCGTAATGATTTAATCGCTTGATGTACCATAATTATACCCCAGCGCAATCCGCTAACAGATATTAATTCAAGTGATTTGGTTTTACGTTTTTCTCGTCTCTTTATTATCAATTTTCATTGTGCATTAATTCTATAACGTTTATAAGTGCTTTCTCATAGTTTAATTACACAAGAATCTGGCGCACGTTTATAATATCTCGTTGTGGAAAATCATGGTGATCAACCGAGAGACTAAATTCGTTGGTTCGACTGAATCATTTGTCCCTGGGATAGTGAAATCCTCAATTTCTAGAAAATATCTGCTGACAAAATAAAATCGTTAACATTTTAAAATTCGGGTCACTCTCTTGTATGAACATTAACATTGACCTGAAAAATCGAGGTATCCTAATTCTTTCTTCATACCAAAATTTTTCAATTAGTCACCAAAACTTCTTAATGGCCCGATTTATTCACTCGTAGAAAAGACCATGGAAATGAGACGATTACGTATGAATTTAGTTAATTGAACTTCAATGAACTCTCAGCAATCTACGCTCCATTAAGATTGAAGCAACCGTCCAGTCGAATCAAGAATTTTTTCTCTGGGTCTTTTTTATGAAAATTCAAAGAAGACTAATGACTCTGACGACTACACTGTTGTCACCTCTCGATAATTTTCTTTTCTACTTATTTATGATTTATGTACACTTACATCCTCGTAACATGTGTTCAATTACTAAGTGATTCGACGTTTTATTACGTCCTAGTGGGAGGATCTATCCTGGATTAATGTTACTACCATGTTCGTTGTGAAAATATAGATTTCAAACCAGAGACAGGTTGACATCACTTGATTGCCTATCAATCGCAATTATAGGAAATGGGAGTACATCGAAGAGTAAATGGCGTCGTAAATCGAGCCGTAAAGAATTATAAGACATGAATAAAATGGAAGAATGGAGAGAATATTTTTTTGGGAAAACATGGAGGACGGGAAATGGAATCAACTCAATTCGAATTATTTTGGGAATTTTTCTACTCAGTGTATCTCAGAGGTAATCTCCAAATAAATTCGTACTCATCCTTTTCTCCTCCGCAGCCAAATTTTTTTTTAACACCGAGTGAAGGAAAACATGCGAAGGGTCAGACGCTAATAACAATTACGAATATTACAAGCACTTTCCACGAATTTCCGGGCATCGTCAGCATCGTGGAAATCTGCATATGTAGACTGTTCGAGAGGTGCAGTTGCCTCGGACAATTGTTTGCACACAAAATGTAATTAAATTACCATTAAAACGAAGGTTGGATAATGCAAATAATTACGTGAGTGGAAAGAGCAGATAAAGTTCTGACTTTCTGGGTTCAATGTGCCTAAACCATCGAGAAGAATTTTCATTAATCAGAAAAACGAATGAGATGGTAGTATATCGAAAAATTTTGGGGTGCAGGTTTTCTCAAACTCTAACGACTGACGAATTATTATTAGACATTGTTTATTCTTTTGATCAATGAATAACTCTCAAACCATGAGACCAACATAAATAAATAAAACTTACACTCATGCGTTTATAAATTCAATGCTTGAAATTTTAATGGAGGAACAGTGCGTCATTGCCAAAAATAAGAAAAAACAAGTTTTTTTTCAGTATAAATTTTTCATCAATTATTTCCCTTAATCTGACTAATGTACCACTAGCATGTCCACCATCCCTAGCCACCCCTCTCGCATTACGAAGACATTTTTATCGATTTTCTCTCAATATCTCTTCCCCCAAATTCATCTGTATTTATGTACAATACCTTAATGATTCAGTGGAAAAGTGGAATGAGGACGATTATTGGCATTCGACCCAGGATAATTTTCAATTGATAAATATCAATTGCCCCAGAAACTAGTCATTCCAGAGAAAACGTCAGAGAAGGAAAATATTCCTTTACATTCCCCAAAAAAAAATCAAACACCAAGAGATAAACCTCGATTGACATAAGTCCACTTTTGAGAAATATCTCCGAATCTGATAGAAATAATAAAATCTTCGTAGACTTTTTTGTGGCGCTCATTCCACTCTGCAAAAAAAGTCATGAGTAAAATTTCGTGATCTCATTAAGATTCAGAAATATTCTTCAAAGACAAGACTAGAATAAATCGATTTTCACTCTTCGCAGCTGCATTAATAATCAATAACGAAAGCCTGCATAAACCTTATAGTCTAATCAAAAAAAAAATTCCATTTCCTCAGGATTAAATCCTGAAGAAAATGTTCGAACATACCGACCGGAAATTTCCCCAGCAAACCAATGGTTCATCAATAATTCATGTAACCCCCCAGATAATTCCACTTCTCGTTAAAATTTGATCGCACATCTCCTTAATCCACTTGACCACGGAGAAATATAATAAAAAAAACCAAACAGAATAATTACGGGGTATTTATTACTCTCACTCCTGACATGTTAAAACACAGAACCCCGGATACCTATCAATTCCCCCCAACATAATCTCCAACACTCCCTAAACGACATTTTCTTTTAATATCAATCAATCGTTAACAGTTCTTCATTATCCATTAAAGTCATTAATTACTCGTTAATCATTCAATTTAATAACTCTCATTAGCGACACATTCTATTTTATTTATTACTTATATAGACGATCCAGTAAGCGAAGAGAACGTTCGACTAAAAATTTCCAAATCGTCGCTAAATGTCTTAACCTTTTTTATTTATTAAGTATTTAACAGAATTTGTAAGTACCTTCCCATCCCTCATCATGAATACAAAATGTGAGATTATTCGAGAGAAATTAATATCCCATTCTGACCTGTAATTGCTCATCAGCGAAATGGTGGACGACAATTGTAATATTTAAACAGGAAACTTTAACGAAAATTCAATGAAAAATTGATTGACCGCAAATTGATGTTTTTTAACTCCACCACTTCACTATTGAACAGCTAGTCAATGCATTATTGAGCTACGATGAACGATAAAAAATAAAAATAATATTTGGAATTATTGAATTTTGTTGAATTTTTATTGTTAATGCACATTGAGAGGACAAACTCAGAAGTTAACTTGCGTTTTAATAAGTGATGGCGATTGGAGTGGCGTTTCGGGAGAGAAGGCTAAATAAATGAGATATAGGGGAGTGCTGAGGGGCCTCATTATTTGGAACAATCGACAGATTAACTGCTCAGATTAATTTTCCTAGTAAATAACCGACTATGACCATTACGACTGAGATTATTACTGTGGTTGATGTGAGTGGCAGCGGTGGAGTGTTGCGCTCCAGATGACCGGATGTCAGACGGCCTGCCGTTACGTTTGCACCTTTCTCCATCGTGCTTCGATATTTCAGGACTTCTTCCTGTTGAAATCATTTTTTAAAACCGAAATCAGTGAAAATTCATTTCAATACTAAAATAATAAAATTAAAAATAATTGTAAGATTTTTAAAGACTACTAATTTTTGACATTGTATTTTTTTTAGCGATCAATTAGTGAGGATTAATTACCTTCAATTGAAGGCATTCTTGCCTCAAACTGCTCTCTGATACCCTCAACTGTATGATCTCCTGCTCTGCGCTATGCAATTCCTCCTCTAACTCATCCATTGGCTAGTAACAATAACAAATAAAGATTCGACTTTTTTACAATCAATTTACAAAATTTATAAAGACATGATGTAAGGACAGGTGACAAATTCTTGGATTTGTAGGATAATATCTGAAAAATATTATTCCACCTGCGCTGATGATTTTGCTGTGTCCCCACTGGACTTGTTCTTTCCGTCAGTTACATTGGAATCAGCTCCGGCAGAATTTGCTGTTGTTGCAGCATCCTCGTCTGCTGAGTTGCTCACCGGATTTTCGAATACACATTTTAGTTTGTAATCCATGATCTGGCTGGGATCAACATCCTTCCACTGTAGTCAAATCGATACAATTAATCAAATTAGAGATTCAAATCGAGAACAATTTGAGCCCAACGAAATAGCCGACTCACAACATCATTAACGAAGTCGTCATCGTCTCCCTCGGGTGCAACAACTGTCTGTACCATAAACTTATGCTTATTCTTCTCTGATGCGACAAATTCATAGGGCTGTAAGCAGACTGAAAGAGAAAGCGCCTCATCAATTTAACTGTCATGAACATTCTCTGATTCATATTCCACCGAGTCTCACCTGCTATTTTCGTGACTTCTTTTGCCTTCAGGATCCCACTGTTCGGTCTGACGCAGTACCTCTTTGGGGCAGTCGTTTTTATTTTAAAGTAGACTTTTTGATTTCTGGGGTTGATTAGCTTTATGTATGACGTAACAGGGAAACCTGTAAATGGGCCTGCAAGGGACGAAACGAAATTAATTCCTCCAGCAAAAATTTTCCAAACTCTTTCTTTCCCAGGATATCTGAGGAATCATCGACGACCCATTTATGGACATCGTCATTCACAGCTGCATGACTCAATGATTTTATTGAAATATCCTCCACAATCAACCCTTGACCGATCGCCTTATTATTCTCACCCTAAGGTTATCGGAAAGCATTGGAAAATATGTTTGAGCCCTAAAGAAATCCCGAGATCCCTTGCACCATATGTCACCCTCATTTGTCTATTTCACCTCTGCTCTCAAGATTGTCATGAATATCCTAAAAAACTGTATCAGAAAGCCGCTAGACTCATGAACCCTGATTTTTCCCCTGTTTTACCGAAAACTGAATTGTCCATTTCCCCTCAATATCAAGAAATTAATAAAGAAAAAAAATGAATATTGCATACGAATTCTCAAAATTCCCTCCAAAAACTTTACGATTTTCGTGTACCCGAGTTCCTCTAGTACAATAATATCCAGGAAAATTCTGGAAGTCCGATAGGAACCTGGAGAAGTCCGCAAAGACCATGCCCCAGCCCCAGGTACAAAAATCCTAAAAATAACGAGAAATACGAGCCTGAAAGCCCCAGAAGCGCCAGAAGGTTCAATGAATTTTGACAGACTCGCCGGTCCCCAAAAGACGGGTTAGGTTCGCCATTACGAAATCCCTTTGTCCCCCAAAACACAATGATCGATTGTCGTTCAATAAATTGCCCGAATGAGAAAAATTCATTCCACCCCGTCATCCTCATCCTTACGTCATTGACAACGTGCATCAGTATAAACTCTGAGGCCCTAAAAACGACTTCCAACGCGACATCGAGAATATTTTTCGCCATGTCACATCCATTCATCAATCAATGCCCCTTGATTGTTTGATTCATTTACTCAATGACAATTCAATGAGAATATAATTGATAATGATTACCCCTGAATCTCAGCTCGCTCTGTGGCTCGATTATTAAAATCTGCTCTGGTTTCGACATCCTCACAACTCAATCGCAAAATTCTCCTCGACAAACAAGAATTCCTCCTTGAGAAAAAAAAATCGACGTTGCGATGGCGATGTTTAAGATAATATTCAATCGACAGGTTATAAAAGACACTTTAAAAATTGTGTGGAATGATTTGACGCGTTGAAATACGCCTGACTAGTTTATACGGGTTACTGATGAATTTTAGTTTTCACGATAGGTTCAGTTCTTCACTTGCACTTTTCCTGGGAATACGTTAAAACTTATTCTGATTTCAGGCCTTTTTCCATAAATACGCATGCGTCATGACGGACATTGCCGAGATGACGGTTTTCACCGAATGCTGGAATGTGTAGTTGTTATTGAAGCCGTCCATAGAAGAAGGCGCTCCTCTCGGAATTTGAAGAGAATACAACGCGCGTGTAACGGTTCCATGGGCGGGAGAATATAAATAAAAAGCCAATTATCAGTTTGTTCCTCTATGTTATTCGTCTCTTGGATTGAGTGCTCAATTCGCGAATTGTACAGTGAATAAAAAATCCGTGTTTCAAAAATTTCAGTGCGCAGATTCTATAAACACGAGTTTCGAACAAGTGATTAAATAAAGGGTTATGATTACTGTGCAATCAGTTTTAATATCTCGATTTCAATTGAACCCAGACACCTCCGTCAATCGCCGTAACGAAATGCTTCGAATCGACTTTAATCGGTTCCTCCATCCTGTCAGATTTTTCAATGAAGAAATCCCTCAGAACAGCGGCCATGACAGTTTTGATCTGCAAACCAGTCATTCTGATCCCAGGACAGCTGCGTGGACCTTCTCCAAAGGGTAAGTACACGAACTTTTTCCTCTGATCTTCATTATCATTTCCAAATCTTTCTGGAATGAATGCTTCTGGGTTCTGCCAGTGCAGAGGGTCCATATGCAGACCGGAAACTGAAATTCTCAACTGATCCCCAAGTTTAAGATTACAAGAGAGACCATCTGGTCCTTTCAAATTCACTGGTTTACAACAGATTCTCATCATGCTACCAATCGGTGGAAAAAACCTCAGAGTTTCTCTCAAAACCTGTTCAACATAGGTCATGTCGTTGATTGCTTCATAAGAGATGGTCCCATGTTTTCCAATCACATCGTCCACCTCATTCCTCATCTTCTCCTGGATTCTCGGATATTTAGCTACGAAATAGCACATGTGGCTTAGAGTCAAGCTTGACGTTTCGTACATCTCCAGGAGAAATCCAAAGGCATGACCTGCCAACTCATCCTCACTCAAACTTTTATTCCTCAAATAATCAGAGATGTGTTCGAGAATATCGGTTCTCACCATTTTTTCGTCGGTCCTCATCGACTTGATGTCATCCACCATCTGCATGAAGAAAGTATTGACCCACTCTGGCAAATATCGGTTTGTGAAAAATCTACTAGAAGCAGGAAACAAGAGCATCAGATTTTTCTTAAAGCTCAGTCCCCTTTTTGTTGAAAATATTGCATCCATCATTTTTCGGAGGGAATGTCTCTCGATTTTATCATCGAAGGTGTCGTCTTCGATACTGAAGATGACACTCGCAGCCACACCCAATGTATATTTTGAGAACAAATCCTTGACTTCAATTTCGATAGACTTCGTACTCTGTCCTTTCAAATATTTGACCATCTTTTGACAAGTGGCATTGATCGCTGGAATCATGTCCCTCAATTTTTTTGATGAAAAAGCGGTGAGGAAAATTCCACGAGAATTCTTCCACTTTTTTCCATTCTGGAAGAAAGGGTCGTGGGACATGAGTGGATCCAGCTCTTCATTCAGAGTAAGATTTTCACTGAAGTTTGAAAATCCAGTGGTCAGCACGAACTTGATCAATTCTGGGTCTCTCAATATCAGAACAGGCGTTGGACCGATGTAGATTCCAATCATGCTGTCGTGTGGATGAGCTTTGTGGAAGCTCTCAATCAGCATTGCTGTATTTTTTATTGATAACACTTGATCAAGTGCGTGGCCGAATCCGAGCAGTGCACCTTCTCCTTCAGATATCCCTTGGGACTTCCAGTATCCATTGTTTCTCGTTAGATATTTGTAGATCACGAGAATTGATAGAATGAGAACGGACATAATATAGATACTAGTCTCCATGGTTATAGATTACATACTGCGTATGATTAAATCTTCATGAGTCGTAGTTTAGTTTAACTGATGTGACTGGCACATTAGAGGAGGGATTCCCAGCGATTAAGATTGTCGTCAATTATTATTGAGAGGGGGGGAAGAATAATCTATCAAATATTTTTTATTCGAGATTCAATGATTTCAGATTTTTAATCTGGATATTTATTTTATTTTTATATTTTTGGCTGAATTGAATATGGGCTATAAGGGAAAGAGGAGTAAAATTGATCGATCATTTTTTCCTTTTCCCGAATGAACGCGTCCATTACTCAAGGCCCGGATGGAGGGATTTTTTTTTTCGATTGGTGACTTTTTGCAATCTCTACGGTAAACAAGGGTAGCTTGATCTCAAACGGTACGCTTTCGGTAATTGTAGGAATCGCTAGAAACCACGACGACATAAAAAGTGGGCTGGGGAGAGCCCCTAAAAATTTTTTTAGGGGCTCTCTTTATCGGTGAAACTTGAAAATTGTCATAGCGTACTTTGACAATATTATTTAATATGCAGTTGTGTCACTAACAATCCTCTGCACATTATTATTAATATCATAATCATTCCCTCTGAAAAAGGATAAAAGGTGGAAATAAAGTAACTTGATTTTTCCATACATTTATGGCAAATCTTGTACACATTTATTTATTTCTTTTTATACTCTTTTTCCTGTTTAGAACATGATTTATACACCGACTAATCTCTCAATAAATCCATATGACAATTATCTTTAATAAAAATATAGTCAAACAATGATTTCTGGAGAGGAAAAATGTTTCACAGGATCATTCGAATGAAAGTAGGTAACAGCGTTCGACTAGATGAAAAAAAAAATAAATTATGTACACTTTACACACATTAATTGAAAATTGAACGATTAAGACGTAGCAATGAAACAGTCTCTTATTCTTCTTGTATAATTGTTACTTTTTTTCGGTTTCTTTGGGTTACGATGGGATGCATTTGTTATCAGGACAATTCCTCGTACATTTATCTCAAAATATATAAAATACGAGTTTTTCCAGGTTAATTTGAATTTAATCCATTCTCGGGATTTACTCAGTTACTTTGCATCTTTTAAAAATCACGCGATTATTAAGTTTTCTCTGTTAATCTGATACATTGAACTAACTTTTTATTTTTCATCGTTTATTATGCCGTTTTCTTGATGTGATGACAGCGCGATTCTTAAATTGAGAAGGGGAAACTTTAGAATTAAAAAAATGATTTAGCGAATTCTATGACTTCCATTACAATTCACTTTTTGGGCTAGAAAAATAATTTGAATTGTCACTTTGCCTTTCATCTTCATTTCAATCGGTTTTTCTAAAATTAGGGGAACTGTCATTGACAATGAAAATCCGATCACTTTCGGTTATTAATTATTTAATTTCCAGTTAATTAGAGAACTCATTACTGGCCATTGCATGAATACTGTCGTTTTCAGGTTGTGAGAACACTAATGGAGACTTTTTCGTTTATTTTTGCCACAAGCGACACAAAAAATCGAATGGAATTCCTTCATTAGGCATAAATCAAATCGTCTATCAATGACTTCGTTTAATTTCACGTTTTATTACTGCAGAATCTACTGTAAGTTAAATTCGAAGGCTTCATTCAACTTCCTCTCATCTTCAATGACTTATTTGAAATTGACCATTTTATTTTTGTCGTCCATTTTATTGAGGAAATTTTGAAATGTCAATGATTGAAAAATCTTCTGATTATTCTGTCTCTCGTTTGAATTTCCAAAACGTCAGGTCGATTGATTCGTTTAATTATTATGCCAGCGAGTTTATTGCAATTTTAGCAATGACCTGAGATGCGAGTTCCACTGTATCAAAATTTAGACTCAACTCTTTATTTATTACGTATAGCGTGAAATTGTCGTTTGGTGATAGATTCACATGCCACCAGGTTTCGGAAGATTCGTGTCGTATGCCCTTATCACATCTGTCTGCGTCACTGAGCCGCCCTCCTCTTGTGAGAATGCAAATCCATCTATTAAAAAAAATGTGGTGATTGTTTCAATCAATTACACGATTGACTGCTCTAAATAAAATCAAGAAAATACTGCACTGGAATAGAAAAAGACTGGGCATTCAATTAAAATCATTTTTCAAAGAGAATCTCAATTCTATTTCATTCAGAGTCTCGGGTATCCCTAAAAGTATAAGAATCATGCAGAATCACTGGCATATCTGTCCAGATTCTCTAAAAAATTATTTTTCTCTGCTTTCGCATGTCGTGAAACGACACTAAAGCCTCATGTGCGCAACTGCCAGTGTACATACAGTATTCGTCATAAATATAAAATGCCATGTAAATTGTGTTGGTCAATGTGAAAGACGTGCTAATCATTAAGTAAATACTCCAATCAGTAATTCATATATGTACAGGAGATTCATAAATTTTTTTTTCATGGAATTTCTGTTGTCGATGTCATCAGCGATAATTATTCGCAATGTTCGGGGTACAATTGAACTTACGTGACAGCTCGACCTCGACATTAACTCTCGTCGTAGCGTTAGATCTTCTCATGAAAACACTTTTAACGTTTCTCAGTAGCCTGGCGGTCTCCGTCAATCTGTAAGCCGTGCATTGTGACAAATATCTTTAATAAAATGTGCAGTATTTGCGAGTATAAATTTTCAACAAATCCGCATCTTTCTTATTCACAGCGTGGCAATCCTTATCGTCGGTATTCAAAAATTTCGCGGATTTACATGAGAGGGTAATGTAGCAGGTTCCGATGGAATTTACGAGCAGTCAATTTTGTTAATTGGATCGGATTGGATTGATAATTGATAAAATCAGGCAGAAATCATAGTACCGTGAGATAAGGAAGAAAAGGTTCATCCGCGTGTTAAATGAAAAGAGAATTACAGAAATGGAATAAATGTTGATGTGTTGTTCATGCAAAGCCATAAATTGAAATCGTGTGCGCGGTTTAAGCTGCAGAAGCAACGGGTGGAATAATTTGAAAGTTTAAATGAAGAATCTAGCTAATTGTTGGTACTAATCACTAGATAATTACTGAATTATCGAATCTACTAGGAGGGGGTACTTACACCTCGCGAGATCGGCGATCGCATGCACAGGCCTGTACGAAGTACGACGACTTTTAAAAATAACCAAAATACAAAATTCATATTAACACCTTTTTTACGAATCAACCTAGAATGTTCGGGCATCCACGGACCATCTATGATTCTGAGTCAATTCGTCATTTTTTATTAATTATTTTTTTATCAGACATCACTGTTCACACAACCATTAAAATATTTATTAGTGATGAAGTGGTAAAACAGAAGATAAATCCAAAATCCATTCACGAATGACTTTAGAAATATCTCAGAAAAAAATGGGCGACGACATTAATTGCCAGAATCTCATCAATAAAATAATGAATAAGCACCCATATTTTCATATCGAAAAATAAAATAAATCCATGCAAAACTCCAATTATACAGAAATATCGTCGATTAACTTCCGAGATATTTGCACGACCACAGAATAGCGTTTTGTAATTAATCTTTTGTTTGATACCATTTCATTGAATTCAATTCACATCTATAAAAAAACACTCCGTTCCAAATTAAACCTACCGAATCATAGAAAGCCAGTTTAATCAATCATAAACTCAAAGAATTGATCAATGGATTAATTCATAATTGACAGAAGGGAAAAATGACAGTGCAAGTTCATAATGAATTATGTAGAGTGAAAACAAACAAAAACAAAAGAATAATTGAGAATCCAAAAAATATTTAATGCAAAAACATGGATACAGTGTTTATAATCATGACTGCATTATAGAAAAAACGATAATACTGGAATCATGCACCAGGCAAACTCTCAGATAATAACTAAACCACTCATAATAATTAACACTTAAACTATAAAAAATACAACATCGGCGAAAAAATAAAGATCATCTATTTCATTGGGAATCACTTGAAAAATTTCAAGGTGTGATACTGATCGACACATTAATCCAATTGCCGGATGATTTATAATGTCCGGTGATAGTATTAGTGGAAGTCATGCACAGGTTCATATTCTCCAGAATCGTTAAATCATTCTTCTTGATGTGACAAAAGCGTCTATTGAAGCATCACGATTTCACAGGGACTGGGGACGTGTTATTGTGTATTGGTACCACGAGCCACGACGCGTTACAAAGGCAAATGGATACCTCCTAAAACTCCTCCTTCGAATTGGTCTGAGTAATGGACAACATCGATTCAACCATCTGGTCAGTGATCTTGATCGGCTGCAGGGATATTGTAGTAAAAAATTCATTCATCTTCGCAAATTTTAATATTTACACAAATTAATTACCCGAACAATTTTTTTGAGCCGTATTATTTCAAATGGGATACCCTGTAAATATATTGGATGACTCATGCAATAATCCGACAATTTACTATTGAATTTATCTCGTATTCGTGAATTCTGTTGTGGAATTTTAGTGGGTAAATTCGACATAATGGACTAAAGCCATGCAAACGAGTATCTGAAGATTCGAATCAATGACCGAAGCGCAGCTTCATGCAAATGAAAAATAGTGAATAGAAAATGATTCGATTATGTTGGTATTGGTTGTTCGCTCGATTACGACTTTTTTTTTAAAGTCACCTCATCATGCTGAAGCTTTGCTTTTCAATTTGATGGTTATTGTGATTCCAATTTGACTAGGGTACGTTGATATATGTGATTATTTTATGATGATTAGTATGCAACGAGGTAGACTTACGAGCTTCGGTAATCTTGGTCTGTGAATAAGTGACCCGGGTCGGATTTTCGAATTTCTTGTTCCCTTGCTGCCTCCGTTAGTGATTTAAACATAGTATTCTTCACACTGGATTAAAACAAAATCCTGAATTAATTATTTTGATCTACACCGAATTCGTCTGAAAATGATGAGGCCAATGGCCGCATCACGTTCCCCATTTGAATCCAGAATAAATTTTTCAACTTACGCTTTTGCCGTGACGTCGACAAGTAAAACAGCTGAAGGGATGAGAACCAGTCCCAACCAGAACACAGGAGATGAAAAGAGCATTCTGTCATTGCCAAGCATCACAGCCCCGACATTCAATGCTGGCCAAAAATTACTGGAAGTGACAAACATTTTTTTTTTCAACCCAACATCGATTACTTAGAAATGGAAAATAAATAGGGCAGAGTTTACACTCACCTGTATATCAATATAAACAAGAACCAAAGTATTATCGATCCCCACGTGGCTAGATGGGTGACCCACGTCCATGAATTGGTTATGAGGCCAGCTTTTCCACAAACAGTAACTACCACATACTGAAAATCCATACAACCATAAAATAACCAAAGTAAACACCCATTTACACATGAATAATGGAAAATACTTACGGTATATACAAAATTTCCTAGTACTATATAACCTCCGTCTCGTCCATTCGACCACACCACATCATGTTTCAGTGCCAATAATGATAACCAGTACAACAGAGACGAATGAACTAATGCATTTACAATCCACACCCAAAACACCTGCAAGAGATTGAGATAATCATAGCAATGGGTTGTAGATCCTCAAAGCAAGAAATTTATTGAATTTACCTTAATATTAAATGTAGATTCGTTTGTGTTCTTGGCAGCGTATAATCTCGGGTGTGCAAGATGCGTTTCCGCCGAGCACACCTTATCGAATAGTCCCATAGCAAGAGGTGGTGCAGCTGTAAATACGACATTGTAAAGTCCAATGCTCCACCTTTCGAAAAGAATCTGACCGGACCAGCCGGAGTATATGGCGAACCACAGTTCAATAACGTAAAGACAGATATTCTTGTAGAAAGAATACAAAATGAGTTTACACATTCGGCTGTAGTTCCATGAGCCATGAACAAACAGCAATCTCTTGAGGAATCTGAACTGGGCAATAGAGTAATCAGAAGCGCACGCAGCTTGGAGTCCTTCGACCCCGGATATTCCCACCCCAATGTGTGCCTTTTGAATCATTGCAACGTCATTTGCTCCATCGCCAATAGCCAATGTAACAGCTTTGGTATTGCTTGTCACAAGATCTACAACTTCTGCTTTTTGCATCGGCGAGACTCTGCAGCATATCACGACCTTGCACGACGTGCAGAGATCGAGGAAGTCCCGCCTCAAGTCACAGGACAGTGCGTACTTCAAACTATTTCCATCGATAATCAATCCAACGTCATTCTGACACCTGAGATCAGGCCCAAAGTCCGCACAGTGCTGGACGATAACGTCTCTCGTCTTGTCCAGGGAACTTTCGTTGACAATTATCAGTGGCATGGACTGAGTTATCAATTTACAGGAGTAACCAATGTTTATGGCTGTCTCCTGCTTATCACCTGTCAAAACCCAGACATTGATGTCCGCCTCGATGAGAGCTTGAAGAGTTTCAGGTACCTGATCCTGAAGATGATCCTCAATAGCCGTGGCTCCAAGAAGATTCAACTTCACCTCAATCAACGAAGCAGCCTCTTCCAATTTCGCATCTCTATCTGTCAGGGTCACTGTAGCATTATGATAAATATCTTTCCACCAGTTATATCTATTCTCAGGAAGATCTGCTGAGGCAAAACACAAGGTTCTTAAGCCCTTTGTGGCAAAAGTCTCGAGATGATCGAGTGTTGATTGCCTGAAGTCATCATCTCCGTCGAAACCCCCAGAGTCGCCAGCCCTCGAGGCTAATCTCTCATAAATAACAGAATCCGCCCCTTTGCAGAATATCTTGATCTTACCCTCGGGTGTTCTCACTATCACCGACATTCTCTTCCTTGCAGACGTAAACTCAATGACATTGAGAATTTCATAACGATGTCTTTCCCCTAGTGCTTCGATCTCCACATAACTTGGAGTTCTCGTATCGAAAATGTAACCGAATACTCTGGCACCGTCCACAAGAGCCCTTTCATCTGGTGATGCTGCGTGATAAATTATGTGTCCATTCACCCGTTCGGGAATCACCGTGTGACAAACCGACAGCATCACCATGAACTCGTGAAGGATATCAGCATGAACGGACTTCTTCTTATCATTCGACCTAGGATGACTCGTGTCTCCTCTCCCATCGACAATATCTCGTATTAGGTCACTGTCAGGCTCGCCGGAGCCCCGAGGCTCTCCAGGATTTGGTAAATCATAAATTCGTCCTGCCACTGAACACCTTTTGAACTCCATAACATTCCTGGTTAGTGTCCCTGTCTTATCGGTGAATACGTAGTTCACCATTCCCAGCTCCTCGTTCAAATTGCTGGTTCTAGCCATTGCTGGAGTATCCGTCTCGGCGTGGTACATCTCGATGTCCATGTTTATGAAGGTCGCTTGAATGAACCTAACGACTTCGAGAGTCACTTGGAGGGAAATTGGTATCAAGTTGTTGAAGAGAATAATGAACGTGAGGAGATTGAAGGCAAAGTTCTTGCTCATTCCCTTCATGTTCTCCAGGCCCAAATACCAGAGGCCTTCCTGATTGGCATTTGTCCAGAATACGTTAAAAATAGCAGAGACAAGGCACAGCAGTAGGAGAATGAAGAATAGCATCAGCACTTGGGTGTTCGTCAAACGATCGAGGGTTGATCGTTTCAATGGAGCTGTTGTTGTGTTATTCTGCATGAGCTTCGTATCGTGGCCCGTGTAGACGACGACTCCAAAGGCCCATCGTGTGTTCCTGAGGATTGCACCGCGTAGTAGGAGTTGATCTGGTCCCAGTGCCACGTGCTGTTTGTTCGTTTCACGAAGGACTCCCATGAATTCGTAGAGATGACGATTCGGTGGCTCACACTGGATGTTCGCCTTGAAGTTCATCAGTTCCACAGTGTCCAGTAACATTGCTGTCTCTTGGTGGGCCTGACGAATTTTGAGATTGGTTTCGCCATCGAGGTTGGCCGTTTCTATGAAGGACATCCCCTGAGGCTCGGATGACGACAGAAGAATCAAATCTGCAGGGAAGAAATTGTTGTTGTGCACTTTGACAACGTCACCCACTGCCACGGATCTCCACTGGATCCATTGCCATTTACCGTCCCTCAGGACTTCTACCTCACGCATATTTATCTCATCATCGGCTCGGTGCCTTTTCTGGAATTCAATAGATCGTATTCGATTGACATAAATAGGATGGTTCGACGAGGAAAAGCGATTCGGTGAAAGAGGGAACGAATATTTGACGAGAATAAAATATCCAGGGAATGCTGGGATATAAAAGAAAAGGGATCGAGCGATAAAATAAAGGGTGGAATCGAATAAAGGAAGAGGTATGTGGGACATCGAATGATTTCGAAATCTATGAGCTTCTGATAAATTTCCGGAAGAAAAGAAAAAGATGGTACTTCAATGGTTAATGATTAATCAATCTTTGACGCAACTTACAATATCTTCGACGATTTCTTTAAGCGCAGACACACTGAGAATGAAGATAAGTGGAACGAGAGTCGTATAACGGCCAGTGGGTGAGACATCTGGGATTTGCTGTTGGCAAATGAAACCAATAGCGTGACTATTACCCCAGTCTCAAGTGTCACAGATAAATCAAATAAATAGCAACACTTACCTGCATCAGTGCAATGAAGAGGAAGAAGCAGTTACTGTATCGACGAAACTGCTCGAATAGGAATGAAGGAATGAATGAGAGTAATGAGTATTTAGCGGTTGTGATGTGATTGTTTTTGTATTTGGCTGGCTGATGGGGAGCATTAATGAATACAACTCTTTCTTCTTGGCTGTCTTGATCGGGTGGACGTCTGTCGCCACCTTGGGAACCCCCATTTTCCGCTCTACTTCCAACTGCAATTGAGAAAACAACATTTGCTATTCGTCTGAGGGGGGGTAAAAGCCTTCCAAAACTCGACAGGTGTTTCCTTTTATTGATGTATTTCGATAGTCTTCTCAGGTGATTCAAGAGATTGATCATTGGGGTAAAGCTGTCGCTTATTTGTTATTATACTGAAGTCAGCATAAGTTTTAACATTGATTTTAGGAGTGGGGGACATGGTTACAAGTGGTAACTACGTGGAGTGGGGGTACCCAGAGAAGTAAAAACTTATGCTGACTTTAGTATACTATGAAGTTGGCGTGCTATCTGTATTATCACGGCTTCATGCCCAAATTTTTAAATAATGATTGAATTAATTCGATTCATAACGAAAATTTTTCCGGAATTCTTATCTCAAAAAGATAACAAATTTATTCCCACGGTCTTTATATTCTAGATAGATCACACGAAATTTCACAAAATGAAATTGATTTTTTTAGCCGCCATTCAATTAATTCGGATTTCCCATTGCGCGGTTCGTAATTAAGTCTTTTCCATGATCTACACTCCCGCCTTCATCACCCGACTAATCTCATTTTATCGACGTGCATTTGAACCTCGAAAATTATTCTCCACTGGTTGGAGAGTAATGAATAATTCAATAATTTCGATTGCATCGATGAAACCGTCACCGCGATTCCGGTGAAATCGTTACAAAATTTATTCATGAATGTTCGTAATATTGGCAATGACCTGGAAGACCCTTTTCATAGCACGAGAGAATCAATAACACTCGATTAAATTCACGTGAGAAAGCTATATAATCCGATAAATAAAGATGATCTCCAATTGGAGGAAAACACGAACATCTTGTTACTGAATAATTATGTAGTACTCTTGTGACATGCAAATTGGGAATTCGTTCAAGTGTACGGACGAAGTCGAGTCAGAGTTGTACAATAAAATGTCAAGAGACATCTCCAATTATTATTTGCAAACAGGAGTCGATTAAATTCGGAGTAAATAGAATGAATTAGAGGTCTAAAAGAACTCGAATGAGTTATATATAGACCGAGGTGATAATACGATATTTTAAACTCATTATTTATAATTAAATATTTTGATTCAAAAGAACATTGTGATCCATAAAATTCTCTCCACCAGAATTTCCCGCAAAACTTACTGTTTTGTCCATATAAATAAATTCTGCAACGAGACCGTAGTTCATCGAATCTCGTTATGATCCTGTTTCTGATCAAATCCATATTGTCAATAAATTATTCAACAGCAGTCGCAATTCCACATAACTACATTAGACCGTCTGTTCTTGATCAGTCAGCATTAACTGTTCACTTGGTTCATTCAAATAAATCCACCACATGCATTACACCGACCGAGATAACCCGCCGATAAGAAACGCCTCTTCTGTTTTCCTCAATAATTTTTCCACAATTTTCCTCAAGAGTCTCCTCAAGTTTATCGATTCGAAGACATTTACTGGGCTTCAGTGCGACTGAAGTTCACGATAAAATCGTCATATTATCAGTTTTTCCATTTTACTAATGATCCAGGTAATCGCGGTATCTCAATAAATTGAAAATTAATAAGAAAATTTCAAACCATAAACCTCACAAGTAGAAAAATACTGTAATAATTTTTCAGGTCCAAATCAATTAATCACAGATTAAAAAACACACTATCTGAGCAAACATAATTCATAATTCAAAAGAAAACAATAGTTCCATTTTCACTGCGATAAAGCACCTGCCGAAAAATCGCTTATCACCAATAAAAAAACGGGAGCTCTCCAATTCACTGATAAATTAATCCGGATAGACTTTTAAGCGGCAGCGAATTCCCACGCGTTCGATAGCTCCAAGGTCGACGTCACAAAGCCGCTCATATTGCGAAACAATGCACAGTGGCTATGATTTTTCAATTAATCATCGATTCCATCGACGATAAATAAACAAACGCACGTTTTCCTCCAGCTACATCCCCACAGAAGCTCAACGAGTCAATTAAAATCGTTAGAAATAAATGATTGATGCTGGAACAACTCGTCAATGATCCCTCCGACTTCCTAATTGCAATTGCCAAATCAGATAATTGAAGCTAATGAGGAAGCGTCTCTCTGGCTGACCAGCTCAAGTGTCAAAGCAGCTGTCGCTTGTTGCGCTAAAATGTCTCCACTATCACATGCAATTTTTAACGGGTGATAACGATTCGCAACTGCACTGTTCAAATCTTCTGCCACATCACTCAGCATGAGAATCCCCTCCAGAGTGCGTTCGCCACACCCCGGCTACCCCTAAGTTGATGACGTACGTCACACCCTTGCGCACGTGTGCGTACAAAGAGATTGTGCAATTTGCGCGAAAAATCGAGGTTGATCAACAAAAAATGTCATCACATCCGTTCCATTACCATTTCTCGATATGCGAGATGACCATCAAGGAAATCCAATCCAATCAAGGAAATAATTGAATTTAATTATACAAGTAACACCTCCCTGTCAAAGGAAGAGACCAGAGATAATCTCTGGAAGAGACATCACAAAAGCATCGATGTTTGAATTTTGTCTCGTCCAAGACACAGATGCCGCTGATGAAGCTGTTCTCAACCTGTTGAGCTAGGTATTGATTAATTGGTCACCGGAAGGATTGACTACTTGGCGAACAACTGATGATGGACGATTCGTATCAATCAGGGATTGTCTCCCAAATAGAGAAACTTAGTCATTAAACCATTGATTCAGCGGGCTCCAACATCGATGGGTCTGGAGGAATTGGAGCTATTGATCAAAACACCAGCACTTCCCCAAAGGTGATCGACCTTGAGGTTCACCATGACTCAATTAGCCGTGATGATGAATTCTCACTCTGATGTGATACAAAAACAATAATTACTACATTACATCTTAACCGGACTAACGACCTGTCAACCGTCACGTGTCGAGCACCACTGAACCCGCCAGGTTCCGTTGGTCCCGTTAGTTCTGCCATCTTGCCAACTACGTAATACTGATAGCAGGGTTTTGTAACCGAGTGGAAGCAGGGGAGCGATTTTGCTCGTTTTATGTCGACATAAAAACTTATTTTCTTTTTCACGTCAGAGGGTGTTGTAGTCACAGGCATTAGTTAGGTGCCTTTGAGAACACTCGAAAATGGAGGAAGAATCCATACGTGCAAAATGGTTTCATGTGAATATTGATGCTGCTCCGAAATGTGAAAATTGTG